TCTCTCTCTCACCCCTCTCATGCAGCCCCCCTCCTAGGGTTCGGCCTCTCTTTCTCTCTCTCCCCCTCCCCCCCCTCTCTCTCTGCATCGCGTGGTGCCGTGGATGATGGGACACTCAAGTGGAACAGTCTTCAGATTCCTGTCCTTCTTCCCCTTCAATTGTCTTTTATGTAGGCCAAACCCACCCAGATCTTTTAACCAGTCCTCAAGGGGGAGGGGGGAGGAAGAGGATGACTCTGAGGGTCCTTGGTGGGTTGTTTTCTAGCAGATGTTTCATCCGCCATCTAGGGAACATCGGTGCCGGTGAGAGCGGGGCAGCCTTCTAGCATTGATGATGTTACCCAGTTGGGTCATGAAACATCTACAAGAAAACAGTTCAGCTCAGGGAACACCAAGGACCTCATAGTTCTCCTCCTCCTCTTCCTCCTCCTCTTCTTTTAGCTCTGATGGTGGTATCTAGTTGGGTCATGAAACATCTGAAAGAAAATCACCAAGCTCACAGAGCACTAAGGACCCCATAATCCTCTTCCCCCTCCTCCTCCTTTTAGTCCTGATGATGTTCCCTAGTTGGGCCATGAAACGTCTGAAAGAAAACCGCTACTTCCAGAGAGCATCCAGGCCTCTATAACCCTTCTTCCTCCTCTTCCTCTCCACAAACCCTCCTCCCTTCTAGCACTGATGATGTTCCCTAGTTGGGTCAGGAAACATCTGCAAGAAAATGACCCAGCTCAGAGAGCACCAAGAACTCCACAGTCTTCCTCCTCCTCCTCCTCCTCCTCCTCCTCCTCTTCCTCCTCCTCCTCCCTTGCAAACCTTCCTCTCTTTTAGCACTGATGATGTTCCCTAGTTGGGTCATGAAATGTCTGCCAGAAAACCTCTAAGCTCAGAGAGCATCGAGAACCCCATAGTCCTTCCTCCCCTCTCCTCTCTTCTTCCTTCTCCTCCTCCATTCCACAAACCTCACTCCCTTCTAGCACTGATGATGTTCCCTAGTTGGGCCATGAAACCTCTGCAAGAAAACCACCAAGCTCAGAGGTCACCAAGGACCCCACATTTCAACCCTGAGCCGCAAATATCCTATTATCATACTTGCAAGCCATCTTTTCGGGCCTGCCACACTTTCTACTTCATTGGGTGTTTGTTGTGTTTTTTAACTTTGTGTGTTCTATTGTTTTTAAATTCTTTTAATCTCTTTCATTTCTGTAAGCCGCACGGAGTCCTTCGGGATTGGGCGGCATAGAAGTTCAATAAATTCAATTCAATTCTACTGTCTATTTTCTATGGTGGGGAAATGGGAGGGTGGAATTATATGGAGCTGGGTGATATGTAGCCATAATAACATTCTTCTTAGAAACTCAAGGTCATCTTTGCACCTCTGCACCTGACCGGAACTCATGGCAGTGGGAGATTGGACCATGGGATGAACTTGTGGATGTGGGGCAAAGATCTTTTTTTATCATTATTATTGAAAATTTTAGGGGAAAAAAACTTTTAGAAATGTTTCCCTCCCCCCCCCCCGACTTCCCAGAACCAATAGAGGGTATAAATCTTTAAC